CTGATTCTGACCTAACATTGACTATTTCCATCATTCTGAGGTGACAAAAGGACATCTTTAGAACTAAGGGAATCTAAATATTACAAAGACTGACAAGTAGCTCACTAAAAACAAAAAGAACAACTCTCAGCCATTTTGACAAACTAGGAAAATTAGCATTAGAAGGAGAGGCCGGTGATGTACAGGTAGTCCTCAACTTACAACCACTGAACAGTTTAATGACTGTTCAAAGTTACAACAGCACTGAAAAAAGTGACTTACAACTTGTTCTCACACTTACGACTGTCATAGGATCTCCATGGTCATGTGATCAACTTGGCAACCAGCATGTATTTACAATGGTTGCAGCATCCCGGTGTCACGTGATTGCCATTTGCAACCTTCCCAGAAGGCTTTCGACAAGCAAAGTCAATGGGGAAAGCCAGATTCGCTTAATGACCATGTGATTTGCTTAACAACCATGGTGATTCGCTTAATGATCATGGCAAAAAGGTCATAAAATCAAGCACAACTCATTTAATGACTGCATTGCTTAGTGATGGAAGTTCCGATCCCAATTGTGGTTGAGGACTACCTGTATACATAACTGAAATCATTCTAGATCATTTAATTCAAAACTTACTGAAACTTTAATTAATACTGAGAATTAATACTTATTAGTAATGTGGGAGGAAGGGGATTTGTCATTAGAATGTATTTGTCAAATGATCATAACATAAACATAAGACCTATTTGAGAATACCTATATATATGAACTTGCTATTATTAAAGATTAGGTACTAACAATCCAAACTATGTGGCTGTACAGAGCCAACCTTGTCTGATTTTAAAAAGCTTAGCAGAAATTAGGCTGGACTGAGGTGCTGAGAAAACATCCTGGAAAAAGGCAGTGGAAATCACTTCTATATTGCAGAAAATACTTGGACATATCCATGAAGTTATGAGGAAGCTCAACACTTAAGTACTGTTAACATTACACTGATATTTGAATAATCCAAATAAAAACCAAGAAGATATTATCAGGTTATCCTTGGTGCAAAAATGTTTACTGCCTCCTTTATAGAAACTACAATAAAATAATATACAAGAAATAAATTTGTTCTCACCAGCATCACCTGGACACACTATTAAATGGGGATCTTAAAAACCACCCTTCAAAAATCACAGAATTGTAGAGTTAGAAGGTGTCTTAGAAGTTATCTAGTCTAACCCTCTGTGCCCACTCAGTGCAGAATCTACTAGCACTGACAGATGATATACTTCTTGGAAGACCTCTGGCAAAGGAAAATTCACTACTTCATGTGGCAGCTGTTTCACTGACAAACAAGAAGGACAGACAGATACTTCCTCCTGATATTTAAATTGAACCTTCTTCCTTGCATTTTAAACTCAATGGTTCTGGTCCTGCCCTCTAGGGCAAAGAAAGTAAGTCTACCTCTCCTTTGATGCAACAACCCTTCAAATATATGAAAGCTGCTACATACCCCCCCTCAGTTGACCTTTTTGTAGGCTAAACCTATCCAGATTCTTTAGCTGTTCCTCACAGGGCTTTGTTTTCAGACCCATCACCATTTTGGTAGTCTTCCTCTGTACTTGCTCTACATTCTTGCCGTCCTCTTTGAACTGCAATGCCCTAAACTGGATACAATACTCCCAAGGGGGTCCAATTAGGGCAAAGTAGCGTGAAAGAAATGCTTCCTATGATCTGGGCTCTATACTCCTTTTAAATGTACCTCCTTATTAGCATCTGCATCACATTCTTGGCTCATACTGCATTCAACTTGCGGTCAACAAGGACATCCACATCCCTTTCGCATGTATTACTACCAAGCCAGGTCTCCCACATCTAACCCCCTTAAATTCCAAGCTATGCATCTCAATTAATTGTTCCTGTCTAGGTCTTTTTGAACCTTCTCTCTCCTATATAAAGTATTGGCCACCAGTTCTAGTTTTGCATCATCTACAAGTGGCCCCTCGACTCCCTCATCCAAGTCATTGATAAAAATATTGAACAGCAAAGGGCCCAGGACACAGCCCTTTAGCACTCCACTCCACACTTCCATCCAAGCTCAAATGGAGCCATTAATGATGTGGTCATTCAGCCAATTGCGTGTCCATTTACCAGCAGTATCATCTAACCCATATTTTGCTATTTTATTAAGCAAAAACATGAGGTACTCTGTCAAAGACTTTGCTGAGGTCCAGGTACACTGTCTGTAGCTTTCCACTGATCCACTGAGCTAGTAACTCTATCAAAGGAGATATGGTTAGATTAGCATGAATTGTTTGTAACATACCCATGTTGGTACCCATTATTGATAACAAGCTATACTAGTATGCACAAACATACCTGTTCTTGCCCACTGTACTTTAAGTGTCAAGCTGACAGATGTGTAGTTCCCTGCACCCTCCTTCTGCTCCTTTTTGATAAGGACTAAGTATTACCTTAACCTCCTTGCCTAACTTTAGCTCAGTTCCCTTGCTCCCCCAGTGGTATGACCAGCTAGGGCTCTATCTCCCTTATGAGAGAAGACAAACACAAAATAGGAGTGAAGAACTTTTGCCATCTCACAATCACCAATTAATAATTCATCACTTTCACCTTGCAATGGACTGTAGTGGATAAAGAGGATGGCCTTGAAGAACAGAGGGAAGATCCATTACTAGGGCACCAATCAGATAAATGAAAGCTGAGCCCAGGCCAAAGAAGTAATTGCAAAAACATCTCAGACAACCCCCCTATGACAGTCCCCCTGGCCCCAATTCTCATGAAAATGAAAAAGGGAGGAAAGATACATTCAGACTTACAAGATTCTGTTCCTACAGCTGTTCTAATAAAAATAGCTTAGATCTACACGGTCCTGTTTCTTAGTCTGTTCTACCTGATAGGGCTGACATGGACTTGTATCCTCTTAGGCTTTCATTTCCAACATAACCCTCAAAAAAACCTTTTTGTTGTTTTTGATATCTCATTCTGATTTTTAGCCCGAAAGAGTTTCTATAGCTTCTGGAGACTACCTTCACCTTCCTGTCCAGAGATTCAAAAACTCTTTTGGCTGTACCATTTGTCCCCACATGAATCAAAAAGAAACAATATGGACATTTTCAATGGATTGCAGTAATCTTGGTAACTTCTCCATCATGTTCTGTATATAGGCACCTGGAAATCAACACACCTCACACAACATCACAGCAAGTCTGCATACAGCTTCCCCATAGCAAGGAATCAGCCAATACCATGACATGCCTCTTCTTTCTCAAAGTAGTTCTTGGGCTTCTTTGATCAATGGGGGGCCAAGTGTCTTCTACAATGTTTTTAGCATGGCTTGCTCAGGGGGCTGTCAATCTTCCTCTAAAGGGACAGTTTACTACCAGTTCTTAGTTTCACTGACACTGAGTGCCTCCTGAACCTTTTGGTTCTTTGGGTCACCACCTTCCATGTCAAAGGATTTTTCACCCCTGTTCTTTTGTTCTATTTCTCTGCCCCTCTGGGAGAGTTCAGCTCTTCTGACCAGGAGCCTATCATCTTCCTTAATGCATTTCAGTGTAGCAACTTTCTCATGTCCCTTCCCTAATAAGGGAAAAAGTTTGCACTTGCAGCAGATGCTGTTTATGTCCTCTTCAGATAGAAAGGCAATTACTGCATGTATTTTGGAGCTCACAATAATGCTTCATCCCTGCCTTACCTACCAACACTCCTAGTCAAACTTCATTAAATTTGAAGTTAATTTTCCCTGTTTGCTTACTCTGGCTGCAAGCTTCCAGGAGCTGCCTCTCTAGGGCAGAACCAGCATGGACTTGACTTTTTAATTTTTCTGGAATCTACAAGCTTACTTTTTGAGGTTCAGGGGAGGTAGTAAAGCCCATGTCTTTCAGCCTTATCTTCAGCATCTTCTTGCTTCTTTCCCCCAAGTTCATATAAAGGAAGACATTGGGTGTTCTCATAAAAAAGGTTTCTGTGTGTCAGAAGTGCTGTAAACATTTAAGTATAGAGCACACTCAGAATATTCAAGCTAGGAACTAAGGCAAATTGATATGGCCAGTATTTATCAAACTTTGACTATATTCTGAATCCATTTTTTAATAAATAATTTGACCAATTTACTTCAAGTATTAATACATAAGCAAAAGAAGAATAAAATAATCCTGAGAAAAAAAAAATTTTTTTAAGTCTAAAGTTGTACAAGATATTTAGGAAAAAAATCCAAAACAAATTGAAAAATACAGATGGGACGATTTTGGCAGAAGTTTGGAGAGTTGTCTTTTTAACTGTGATGTTCCAATGTTAGGTTTTACACTACATTTGTACTTCCCACCTCACCATGAAGGAATGATGCCATCAGTTTTCAACAGTCCTGTTGGAAGAGTTCCAGGGCCACAAAGAGATCAGCAAAGTGCTGCCACAAACTAGGCAAACACATTTTAGCACAGTACATTAAGCAAACCAGTCCTGGTAACAAGTTAACAGTTCAGTGTGTTGTACAGCCTACCCCCCCCCCCCCCCGGGTTTAGAAAGTCTTGGTTAAGTTAATCAAGGCTAAATGTGTTAATAAAACACAGTCAAGCACCTGCACAAATCTGTTTGGAAATCCAGTCCTTATTCTCCTCTTATTCACTTGAAACAATTGTTTCTCCTGCTAGTCAACCCCACCACTATCGCTGCTTCAGATCAGCTTCATCCAACTATCCAGAATGCTCCAAACGACAAAACTACAGCTGCTACCACGACAGCGACAGAGCCCATGTTAGAGAACACAGAAGCTGCAATCCTACAGTTGGAGAATGTGGTGGCCAGGAAGGTCCTTTCCGATGATGCCTACTGTAGATTTCCATTGTATTAGTTCCCACGAGTATTTTTCCCTACTGAGCCCAAGCCAAGCCAGGACAGCCCCCAACCCCCGGTGAATTATGAGCGTGCAAGAGGGAGACTCCTCGAGAGCGGTCCGCAGAATCGTGAAGATCCAGCGCCGCCTGCGCAGACTTCGGCCGCTCCTCCTCACCTGCGAGCGCTGCTTTCGCGGCCTCGGCTCAGGCGGTCCGAGAGCCTGCCAAAGAACGCCGCCAGAGCAGGCCTCCCGCGGGGGAAACAATCCAGCAGCCGACGCCAGAGCGCGGGAGCCGCGGCGACCACCGCCGCCATGGAAACCCGGCTATTTCCGTTTCCGGATGCTGAACCCCAGCTGCTCTGCCGGTTCCGCTTCCGGTTGTGGAGATGAAAGGCTGTGGCAAAGCGCAGCACAGCCGACCTGAGTGTTGTTATGGTTGGTTCCTGGCTGTCCGTCGTAATCGCCTCCTGCTCGTTTTGGGTTTATTTATAAAGTCACGGAGTAGTAGCGGTACTAATACTAATGTGCTTAGTTTTATTCTATTTTTACTGTATTTTTATATTGTTTTTATTGTATTTTAACTAATATTTATTGTTGTTTTATTGTGAACCGGCCAGAGTCACTTTTTCCTGAGATGGGCGGTATCGAAATTTGAAATATAGATATAAAAATAAATAATACTATAAAAGAGCCAGCCGCTCTAGGCAGATCTCGAGGTGTTGGACTGGCAGCGAGGAGACCCAAGTTCAAATCACCCACCCGCTCGCTCATTCACACTCTGTCAGCCCAACCTACCTGACACCGCCTCCTTGAATTCCCGGAAGAAAGACAGGATATAAATCTAACACGTGCTGGTATTGGCTTTTATTTCAAGCTCGTATCTCTGCAACTAACGAGGGACTAATCAGCATACTTAACCTGGGTTGCAGAAATCGGGAAATTCAAAGGCAACTAACTCTTTGGGACAATCTAAGGGTTGTCCGGATTTTTACAGCCCAGATCTGATATCCCTAGCCTAATCTCTACTGAGTATAGTGAAACTTGGCCCTGCAAAAAAAAATGTCTAGGGTTGTGCTATATTGTATATTTCTAAGATCTTATCTGAGTATTATTACAGATGTTGAGTTCCTGTAACTTGATAGTGCAGAGGGAAATGAAAACTAAGCAAAATGGTTAAGGTTTTTGTCTTACCACGTTAACTATGATTCAAACAGGATAGGAAAAACAGCATTAACAATCAGTTTTTTTAATTCATAGTCATTCCCACTGAATTCAGTTGTGCTTATTCCTAAAAATGCATAGAATATAGCAGTGATAGAAAACCAGGTGTTGAATGTCCATCAGCCCCAGCCAGCGTAATAAATGAGACTTGTAGTCCAAAACATTTAGAAGATAGGAATTGCATTTAATCTTGGTGTTAAGCATTAAGAAATGAAAGTAGGACAGAATCACTTAGAAAGCTAGGAGAACCACAAAGCCCTGTACTATCCTCTTCTGTGGCTGTGGAAATATTAAATAGAAGCAGTATCTTAGATTTATCATTTGGCAATTCTAAAGTAGAAGGTTATGACAAGGCGTAGGTTGCCATTGTTTGAACATGTTATCAGGGTCCAGTATAAATGGTGATGACAAAAAATGATGAAATGTGTACTGCATGCTTTTGGAACTACAAGTACTCCTTGAGTTATGACCACTCATTCAGCAATCATTCAAAGTTACAATAGCTCTGAACAAGAGGGACTTACAACCAGTCCATGAAGTTGGAGCTGTTGCAGTGTCCCCAATGATTGTGTGATTGCAATCCAGGCACTCAGTGCCCTGCTCACAATATGACATCACAGCAAGCTGCTGTCACATGATCACAATTTCCAGTGTTCCTGGCTGGCTTCCCACAAGCAAAGTCAATGGGGAAGCTAGCAGCTCTCACCGCTTTTTCACCTGCCTGCACTCTGTAGCGCCTGCCCAGTATGTGCACTCCAGAGTGCCTGCCTGCAGCATCTGCTGGCCTGCTTGCCTGGGACTCCCGCCTCTTCCCACTTAACGACCCGCACAGTCCTGGGGTTATAATGGCAACCGGGACTGTGGGATTGTTGTCACTAAGTGATGTGGTCATGTGACTTCTTGCTTTAGAACTGCATTGCTTAGCAATGGAAATTCCAAACCCAACTGCCATAACCAGAGGACTTCCTGTAATTCAAGTTATATTCAGCTTATTCCCAAGAAATGGGCAGAGGACTGCAATCATTCTAGTAAGTCCAATTGAATTCTAAAATTCTGTCCATGCTTACCAGAAATGAGATCTATTAAATTCAGTGGCCCTTGTTTCCAAGCATAGGATTGATTATTCATTTGATATAAAAAGCAATAGGAAAAGCCCATACATACACACTACTTTTTCCATTGATCACATCAGGGGTGATATCTTGCCAGTTCTGTTTGGTTCATGAGAACTGAGGTCCATTTTTTACTAAAACCTCCACCTGTCCAGAAACACGGCATATCCAGGCCAGCTGCACCACCAGTTCTCAGCTTCTCAGAGACTTTCAGACAATATTCATCCTGATGCAATGGAAGTAGCAGGCCTTAGGATAGCCCAGGATGCCCATATAGTTCCCCCTGCCATTGTAGCTGCTACTATGGCAACCAGTACTACCTTCCTCTTCTTTCTCTTGCAAATCTCCAGCAACTGCAATAAAGAGACTGCTCCTGCTCCCTCTCTTTCCCCCACACCTTTTTCTAATGATGGCACCTTCCAAGATTACAACTGCCATTGTTGGCTCCTCCTTTTGCTTCTGGGCAGCCCACCCATGTCACTGTAGAAAGCACAGAGGCAATTGCTGTTGCCACCATCTCCATTCAGGCAACTATCAGGATCACCATGCCTCTTCCTCTCAAGTAGGCCTCTTAACTCTAAAGATGAGCCAGGAGGTGAACTACTTGTTGCCTAATTTCCATATGTGGAGTCCTTGGTGCTCTCTGAGCTTGGTTGATTGCTTGCCAACGTTTAATTACCCAACTAGATAACACCATCAGCACATCATCATCAATCCTGAGCTACATATATTCTCTTCTATTGGAATATCCATATCATTCCTGCAACACGTCGTATCCCAGTGTTGATATCATATTATCTGATGACCATAAGTCAGCACAGCAAAGTTAGCACTTGATAGGATAATGGACTGTTGATCTCCAAGCCCCTTTTTAATCCTACCATTCTATGATCCTGTTTACTATATATGGAAAAGTTTTATACAATTCATGTCTTGAACTTATTAAAAAAATCTTACTATTATGATGATGCCCATTTGCGCATCTATAATGTACAAGAGAATCTAGGCACTCTTATCAACTCTATGGTAAACTTTCTACTTATTCCTACAAATCTCAGTGATTCAGTGAAACTTATTCTTCAGAGACTATGCATAAAATGTATAAACAAATTGATTTCAGAGATGAAAAGCCTAGATCTTGTCACTTGATTCAAGAAATTGCAAGTTGTAGATTTAGATTTCTTTTTCAGATCTAAGTATACTAGACAGTACTGTAATAAAATCTACCAATGCCACTAAGATGCCAAAAACAATGTCCAGGAGAAACAATGTAAGGAAGTCAGGTTCCAGGCACATTTTTTTTTTTCTTTCTTCAGTATATTCAGTCAGAGGCAAAGAGGGGAAAATTAGAGAAATCCTATTGAAATTATACTTGCTATTCCCTCACAATAGGTGCATTTAAGTTGCTATGCAAATAGACTGAGGACCAGAAGTAGCTTCAATTAATAAGCATATATGTTCCTAATACAGTAAGTTGATCCTATGCAGGTGTCTTCAGATATATGTTCCAATATATTAAAGACCCAGTAGCCCAAGAAGAAAAAACAGGCGTCATCTACAACATACAGTATAAGGACTATAACAGCCACTATGTAGGAAAGACAGGCAGAAGACTAGCAGAGCACATCCATGAACACCAACTAGCAGTCAGAAGACACGATGAAAACTCCTTAATTTCACAACACATAGACAGTATCAACCCTGGTTTCAGCTGGGAAACTGTCAGCATATTAGAGACCAAGCTAAATCCAAAAATGCTAGGGGATTCCTGGAAGCTTGGCATTCAGACAAGTCAGCCAACAATAGACACATAGAAATGAACCATGTTTACACAACATTCAAAAGCCAATAAAAAAGCTAAGAAGGAAATAAAAAGACTAGAACACATCCTCTCCAGCAGCCAACATCCAGATAAGCAGGGACTACCACCAGGCAAACAAACAGAAAACAATACCCTAGTGAAGGAACTACCAAGGAGAAAACTACACCCCTATCAACACTGGCAGGGCAAGCTATTGTATATAAACAGGGAGCAAACTGCACTCACATTGATGAAGTTACATAGTTGGATAATGAAACATCTGCAAGCAAACAACCAACCTCAGAGAGCACCAGGGACTCCATATTGTGGGCCCTGATTAAGGCTGTTTTGTGTATTGGGAGCTGTTTGTGTTTGCGTATTAGGGAGTTCCTGTGTCACTCCAGCTTGTTCTGGTTTGATCTGATACGTGACTAGTTAAAAGTTGAACTATAGTACTCTTTGCCTTATTATAATAGTAAAAAACACACCCCTAGGAGTAAACATAAGATGCTAATGAGCCCCCCTCATGGTTTATTATGGGGTACATAGTCGTAGTATGCATGTGCATGATGTAATACACCCATGGATTTGTTTTAGCCAATACGAATTGTGATGAATGTTATCTGCTTAGTGAAATGTATAAAAACCTTTGGACAATGCCCCTTTGGGCACTCGATTTGGATTTTGGTCCAAAGCGTGCCTCTTTGCTTCTGTACAGAAATAAAGTGTGAAAGCCTTCCCTCTATTCTGTGCATAATTTGGCTCTCTCTCATACCAGGTAAAAATGAGTCCCAAACAGTTGGTCATCCCATGGCCAACTTCCTTCTACATAAGCAATCTCAGGATCACAACTTTCAAACAAAGTTATAGCAGCAAGATATACTGTTTCTGTACTGTGCAATAGCTTGAGTTTCCATTTACCCTGAAATAGTTCAATAGTTATTTAGAGAACTTCAACTGCTTTCCCAGCACCAAGCAATAGAAAACCTTTCATTTTTGGAAAGAAAGAAAGGTTTCACCCACAGTCTCCAACAGCTGTCAGAGCCTTTGCAATTTACTATACTGAACTCTACTGTATAGTGCAATATTAATGCAGCATCAGGGGTTGTGCAATGGTGAATAGAATGTGAAGGTGTGTTTTATGTGTTTTATGTGTCTTATATGTCTTATGTGTTCGATAGTTTTTATATTTTT